CCCTCAACCTATTGTTCTGTCCGAAGGCATTTCTATCTGTTTCATATGTGTTAGGAGAAAACACGTTTAATTCCACGGAAAAGCACGCTCTTCCTCCATTTGTTCCCATTCCCGATCGTAATTTCAGTTATGTACTGACGATAGGGGTTGAAAATCGCCTTTTAATAAAAATTTAATTGATTTTCCGAATTTTCGCTACTTGCTGGCTGCAAGGCAACTGAGAACGCAACTTTGCATCCATAAAAAAAGCCTATCCAGCCAGTTTCACACTTACACAAAACATTTGTCCATTGAATATTCCCATGGTGACATTAAGAAAGGAGCACAAACCGGTGTGGCTGAGTACGGGTATAAGGAAAACGATTACAAGTGCAGTTGTAGAACACCTTGCAGACACGGGGTATCAAGGAAACGATGACGCTTTCAATGGGATTTACAAAGTACCAGCTAACTCGTCAACAGCTGTTCGTCAGCGACACCTTGCAACAGCCGAGGCGGTGAATAATCGCCTACTCAATCCGTCCCTTTGTTGCTAAAAAACGATTGGTTCAATCACTTCGTTTACCCTGGCCTCAAAACATCTGTCTTGCAGCATCAAATTTATGGACTAAGAAGGACATAGGAGCGCAGTTCGAAGGGATCAATTCTCAACAAGTGTATAAACGTAAACTGAAACATAACTAAATGCTATATTTGGAATGACAAATGTGGATTGAAGTCATGAAATCCTGTGGCGAAATATGCAATAATTTCAAACTTACCTCAGGTGCAATATAATCGGGTGTTCCGCAAAATGTTCTAGTCTTGTTGTTCCCTGTAATCCCTTCTTTACACATGCCGAAATCAGCGATCTTGATATGTCCTTCGGAATCCAAGAGAATGTTGTCCAGCTTCAAATCTCTATTCGAAAATAAAGAGAGAGAAATGAAGAGAAAAATTGCCCGTTCTCATTTGTTTACAATCTTGGAACTGGCCCAACAGGCCCAAACACAAACGAAGCATGAACTGAAAGGCTATGACAGCTGTTTCGACTTGATTGTTCCTCATCAACAATCCAGATCGATTGACCCAACTTGGGACGGAATCTGGGGACACACGGGTAGGGCACCAGAATAATACCCACTCGGCCACACGGCAGGTACTATGTCGTGTATAAGGAAAATGTGAAACGGTCTGATCGGCTGCCCCAGGGTGGCCGAGTGGGTAATATGCTTGAGTTCTATCTGTGAGGTCTCAGGTTCGAAACCCGGTTGGATCGATGGATTTTGCACTGCTGATGAGATCCAACCAGGCTCAAACAGACGTTCACTGCCTCTTATCTTTCCAGATCACGTTTCATTTGTTCTGTGCATGAGGAAATTCACTATATAAGTGAATCGAATCTTTCACTGCCTTTACGCAGCAGGTTGATTTGAAACTCGTGTCTCGAATTACTCGGTGTCGTACACGGAACACATCCACGGAAAGATAAAATGCCTCTAATGTGAATTTGCTATGCTCTAGTAGATATGTAAATTAATGTTGTACGGGAATGCATGACAAGATCTCCACCATGATTTCATGTGAGTGCGACTCGAAGCAATCTGAAGCAGTGTTGATCTGGTTGGTGTTGATCTGATCAGACAAATCCAGAAACCAGTTATATCGCAGCATGGTGGAATATTGGCTGCACAAAACCAACCAGTTAAATTAAACGAATTTTTCAGTGGTCCACGGTGTCTGGCAGTCGTGTGAGTGTGCATCCAAGTCAGGCCACTGCCATCCGAAGTCCAACAAGCACACACACACACACACCTATTCACTGATTCGTAACCTTTAACTGACCGTGATCTCTCTACAAACAGTTAGATGTAACAATGATGCATTCAATAAATAAATGGAAAATTTGGCTTCCATCTATCAGTCTTCCAATGTGTCCAACCACTAGAGAAATTTCATCGTAAGATGATCAACGAACGCGACTATCTCCTAAATGGTTACAAACAACGTTGGCGACGAGACCGAACAGTTTGAATAGATCTTCTAAGTGTAAGTACAGTACATAGGAAGGAGGAGATCAGTGGGGGTGACTGAAACATTTAGCACTGAGGGCGATAGTTCATAGTTTGTATTGAGGACGAAGTACACAAAAGGCAGACCATCAACAAAAGTGCGTTTCTCGTCACGTGCCTGTCATTTTTCTATGGCAAGCAAACGTTCAGTCATCTGGTTGTCTCTCTCCCTCAGAAAGCCTCAGTATGATCGGGGTTGGGAGCCTCGTGTTCCTGCTGGTCACTCCTTGCACCTCGTGAACTATTCCCACCTGGTTAAGCGTCTCAAATAGCTCCTGCTGAAGAAGCCCTAATAGTTGCCTTCTCGTGTCGGACGTGTTTTTCCACCAAAGTTAGAGGACGAAAAGCTAATTTTTGAGGCCATAACTGGGTCGGTGAACCACTAGCAGTTCATCTATAAGAGTTAGTTGAAAACCCTGATTCCAAACCAACCAAGAAGAGGCGCACGAACAACACAAACATTCTTAGTCGTGGTGGTGGTCATGAGCTCGATTGGGTATCGAGGTGTTTTGGGCACCTTGAACATTTGACTCCGTCCGAAGGATAGATGACCCGATGAACTAGACACCGGCCTCCAATGGAGTGAGGTTTTCACACACCGCTCCGCTGTCTTGCGAGTTAGGATTTGGCTGACAAACAAAATTTGTCTTCTTTTGGCCTGGGCAACTTAGCAGTATAAAGCCGTCGAGTAAATTATGAAACATTTTCTTTTTAAAAAAATCAGTGTTCGGCACATAGTCTGAACTCAGGTGTGTTTCAAGACATATATACATATATGTATGCATATATTTTGTCCAGTCATTCACATAGTTTTTTTTTTCAAATATTCCACCAAGACCATCAGGTCACTTTTGTTGCGTTTAACCTTACAAAACTTACAAAACATCGAATCATAGCATTGATTCTTCATTGGACTGTCTCTGAAAGAACAGTACCAAATGGTCACTCGGTGTTGCAAACAAGGTTATTGCGACGAAAATACACATCCTGGGTACAATTATATGAATGATTTGTCAAAAGGTCACCGGATATGCATGCCTGACGAGCGGCAAGAACCGCGAAACCGGTCGTGTGCTTCCAGGGGAATTTGGTCCAGTTATTCACATACTACTTATTATCAAATAGGCATGTACATGAAAGAAAAACATTCCATGATTTGCATGTGGCCGGAATACTATCAGGTTGACCAGGCCAATACAGGTGAGTTTTCTTGAGGAATCCACAACCGGAGCCTTCGGCTAGCCAAAGACTGATCCGCAAGACAGCGTGGCGATGTGTGAAAATCGCAATCCGTTGGGGACCAGTGTCCAGTTCATCGCATAATACGCCCTTTGGACGGGCTCAACCGTCCAAGATGCCCAATACACCTCGATACCCGATCGAGCCGGTGACCACAAATCCCACAACCGAGAAGGTGTGGGTGTGGATTGTACGCCTCCTCTTGGTTGGTTTGGAATCAGGGTTTTTGGCTAACTCCCCCAGGGGAACTGACAGTGGTCCACCAATTCAACTTTAGGCCAGGATATCGTTTTTCCTTCCTCTCATTTGGGTGGGAAACACCTCCGCCACGAGAAGGCAGTGATTAGGGCTTCCTCAGTAGAGGTTATTCGAGACGCTTTGTCGTATGGGAGCATTTCACGAAATGCAAGGAAAGGTTGACCAGCCACAACCCTGCACACCATACTGAAGCTTTTGGAGGAAAATATATACTCGACCTAAGTTACAAGTCGAACCAAGCTGAAGTTTGATATAGTTTCGTTCCACAAAACTTTAGTGAATTATATTTCGATTTGAGAAGCACCAGAAATGAAGCGGTAAATGAATAGAGCGACATGTTTTCTGCAATCAGTAACCAAGTGGTTAGTGATCAGACTGTTTCAAGCTGCGTAAAATTTTTTCGATTACACTGTACCCGAACTCTCGAACGTTTCTGTGAATTTGGACTATTTTTAAGCAAAAAAATTGTATTTGAACACAAAAGTAGAAGAACGCGAACTAAACCCGAGATCATAGAGTTCATTCAGATTTGTTGGTTGTTAGTTGATCGCTCGCAATAACCACTGGTCCCTGTTACACTCTACATTCAAATCGGTCATTTCCTCGATTTACACACAGCACGTTTCCGTTAAACAATACCCGTGTTGTCGACCACTACCAAATTGAATATAATCACCATCTAAACATCTAAACACGAAATAAATAAATTTAACAGTTAAGAAAATTCAATCATAGAAAAAATACTGATCAGCCCTGAAAATTCCCCAATTGGAGTATATATATATATATCACCGGCTTGTAGATAAGCATGGTGTCAACGCAACACTAAAAACAGTGACAATGAAAGGGGACAGGTGGATTGAAGTACAGAACAGAGTGAAAACGGGGTGAAACAGTTGAACACGGGAAAATGGAAGATATCTGGAATAACAAAATGTTTTGTGTTCAACCATACACCTTTTGATATATTTTGTGTTGTTTGTTGTTTTTTACGGGGCACGGGATTTTGACAGGCAGACCGTACAGCATTCACGCGATTGACTTCTATGCTGGACCATATCTCTCAAAGTCTCTAACCAATGATAATCCTCATCCCTTGGGCCCCAACCTGGAAGGCGGACTGCACCAACCGAAGCCAGAGCTGAAGCCAGCTTCTTCATGCCTCTATCCCATGTCATGGTCTGACCGCCGCATCGATTCTTCCAGCCTTGCCCAGCACGTGCGAAGAGAGCACGGAAAGGTAGTCGATGGGTATGCATGCGCAGTACGTGACCAAGCCATCGGAGGAGGTGTAGAGCGATTACTTCTGTTAGAGAACGACTATCCGCACCCAACACGACGACGGACCTCGTCGTTACTCACCCGGTGTTCCCACCAGACACGAGCAATGCTTCGGGGGCATTGGTGTTTGAATACAGAAAGTCGATTAGCATCTTCAACGCAACCGTAAAGCAGAACGCTACGAACCCCGGCGATGTATACCCTTCCCTTAAAGGACAGTCGGATGTCATGGCAGCGCCACAGGTGTCGCAGGTTGGCGAAAGCTGCTCTAGCTTTCCCTTTTCGTGATGTGATCTCTCCAACACCTCCACCAGCTGTGATCAAGCTCCCGAGGTACTTAAAGCTTTCGATTACTTCTAGCTTGTCACCACAGAGTGAGGCTAAGGCTCTTGCCAGTCTTAAACAAGCACTTTGCACTTGGAAGGTGCAAAGCACATACCATACCTGGATACCTCTATCACTAAGCGGTTCAAAGCGTTTTTGGACTGCCTGGGCGTTGTCACCCAGAAAGGCGATGTCGTCGGCCTATTCTAAGTCGAGGACTCTGTTCCCTCCACTGTATTTCACTGTACGATAATGATGATGACGTCTCACTTCTTGTGGTTTAGATAAAAGGTCTTCAACGCTTGTTTCTGGTTCACTAAGAAATTTCACCGGGTCGGACAGAACTGTGTGCGAATCTGAGGTGCATGTTATGTCATCAGGTGGGGGGATTCTGTGCAAGTCTCTGAAAAAGGGGTGGGTGGCGATGTATTTGGTCGCTTTATGGGAGCAAGATGACGAAGAAATATTGTTTCTTCTCGTCCATTAGGGAGACGTATATGAGCGTATTAGGGGTTGCTCTCCAGTAGTACAACTTCCTCTATCATGGGGTCATTCTTGGAAGAGCGGATGTTTCTTCGATATAGTACAGGACTAGGTGTTAATAACAACTGGGGAAGACTGGTACCAACCGCAGATTTTTGATTGTGGAGAAACATACGTTCATATGGCGTCGCCTTAATGGTCGTACAGAGTAATGATCTGATAGCATGGAGGGCATCAGGTAGCACCAACTCCCATTGATCAGCCGCTAGATCCTTAGAACGGATGCATAGGGATACGGTTTTCCAGATGATTCCATTCAGCCCTTCAACTTAACCATTACCTTGAGGGTTGCAGCTCGTCCTGCTAGTAGCTACTCCTCGGTCGTGAAGGAACGTCTTCAGTTCCTGAGACATGAAAGGGGCCCTTTGATTGGAGTGTAAATAGTGCGGCAGGCCAAATATAGAAAATAACTCAGTTAAACGAGAAATTATGGTGCGAGCAGTCATGTCGGGACAGGGGGAAGCTAACGGAAAGCGGGAATATTCGTCAATAATTGTCAAAATGTAGCGATTTCGAGTGTAAGAGGGAATTAGGAGTTTAAAATCAACGCTGAGGCGTTCAAAAGGTTGTGTAGCCTTAACAATGGGGCTATTACGTGGTCTGTGAAACTTGGGCTAAGGCGTGCACAAACAGAACATTGTTGGGTTACCACCTTGACATTATCGAGAGAAAAGAATAAATTTGTTGTGTGGACACAGTGGTACAGACGCGTGATACCAGGGTGGCACAGATTGTCGTGGAGTTTCTTCAGTCCATCGATTGAGTGAATGCTTGCGCTGAATGCTCGTGATAAAGCATCGGCTGCAGGATTCTCCGAACCTGGACGGTATAACACATCATACGATAATTGGGAAAGTTCGATACACCAACGTTGTATTTTGTCGTTCTTGATTTCGCTGCTGACTTTCATGTTGTACATGAAGGCGACGGAGCGTTGATCAGTAACCAATTGGAAGTGGGCACTCAGTAGGTGGTACCGCCATTTTCGAATGGCTTCAATTATTGCGTAGGCATCTTTTTCTACAGCAGAATGATTTTGCTCTGAGGGTGACAGGGTGCGTGAAAAACGTCACGGGGTGTCCATTTTGATTGAATGTAGCAGAGATTGCTGTGTCGGAGGGATCGGTTTCGACCACTAGTGGTGTCTTTATTGACTGTAACCAGTGATGCTTCAATTGGGAAGAGGGAAGATTTTCTTAGTAATTAGCGGGCGAATCTTTTCAGAAAAATGAGGAAACCACTGGGAATAGTATGAGAACATTCTTGCAACTCTTTTGTGCCCTCATATTTGAGGGAGGGGGTAGTTTGAGAAAGGTGTCGAAACGTTCAGGATCCGGATTGACGCATCTTTTGGATACTTCGTAACTCAGTAATCGAACTACTTCAGAAGTGAATACACACTTGCTGTGAGCTAAACCATGTTTGGCAGCCGCCTGCATGAACCTCTTCAAACTGATGTGGTCCGTGGTTTCTTTCCCACAAACCGTAATATTGTCTATATATACGAAGGTTCCCTTGAGCCCTTCACGTTGAACAAGCTCATCCATGGTGCGCTGAAAACAGGCGACGCCGTTGGTTACTCCAAACGGTATGCGGCGAAATCGGTAAAGGTTACTGCATGCCTTGAAAGTTGTATAATAACGTTCATTTTCCTTTACAGGTATTTGGTGGTACGCAATCTTCAAGTCTAGGGTGCTGTAAATGTTGTATTCGGCAATTTTACCCACCAAGTCATCAATGCGGGGTAGCGGATAAGCATCCAAAAGGGTGAATCGGTTAATTGTATGACTGTANGTAATCGACTACCATCCGTCGTTTCTGGCGTTCGTTGGTTGTAACCAGGACCTGGGACCGCCATCGTGATCGAGGTTCGATTATTCCATGCTTCCATAGCCTACCGAACTCTGAACGAATAAAATTCTCATCGTAGTAGCTGTCCTCGATTTGGTGTAAATTGGACGGCAAGAAGTATCCGGATGTGCAAAAATGGAGGCAACTGGAAGACTAGCGGCTGAAAGACAACAGAAAGAAAATGGTAGCTGAATTCCTTAGAAGGATGTTTCTACTGACTTGTGTCGTTGTAAAAAGTCATGTCCAAGTAGTACATCAGCACATAAATCGGGGAGAACGGACAGTTTGACATTTTCATACCGAGTCCCGAGACAAAACAATGACCCCTGGTGCAGCTTGTCATACGGGTGGAAGCCAGGACAATCTTACTATTGGATGTCAATATCGACCATTTGTTCTGGAGAACAATCTCCT